TTAAGTGGAGTAAAACGTGGCCAAACAAAGACCACTTAATACTCATTGCAGGAGATAGTATTAAAATAGTATAGTAGAGGATTTGTGGCCCCATATATAATACTAGTCCAACCAAAATGGCCAAATTATTGTCCGAATCAGACGTGGCTATGCCACGTCATCTCCTCTTCATCCATGTTGTCTTTGCGTGCAAAATACAGAAAAGACGCAGAAACTAAAACGTTCTCTCCTACTTCGTTTTCTCATCTCTATCTTTATCTTCATCGGTTTTTTTTTTCTCCTCTATCTGATTCTGTCTCTATCTTCATCTATTTCATAGATCTTTCTCTCTCTTCCATCCAGTTCCGGCTCTCCCTTTCTCTCATCGATTTGGTAAATTCGATGGAAAAAAAAAAAAGAATTGAATAATAAAGGAGTGGTTGTTCAATAAAATGTGATGCCCTTGATTTTCTACTCCTAAGTTCATCCTTAATTCAATTGTTTAACATCCGATATCGAGTTTGAATGCTTTTTTCGATTCTACATTCTCTTTTTAGAACTACCAGGCAATTGTGAATTCCACAAGTAAGGAGCAAATTTGTAGTTTGAAGAAGAGTTGTGTGGTTAATGAACTAAATTTATAGTATGATTAGTCATGTTTGTTTTCTTATTAATAAAGTTCTAATAAATTCAATTTTAATTAAAATAAATTAAAAAATCGAATTTTGAATTAAGTTCAGTGTTAGATAGGAATAATTTAGGAATTTCCTATGTAACACTGAACTTAATAAATTCCTCCACCATGTTGAACAACTAATAGAAAAACCTTTAGGTGTTAGATAAGTTCAAGTAAGGGTACTTCGAGAGTGGGAGATTTTTGAAGCTTCAGCTATATATACTCGAGCCCTCAAAAGGATATATACGCTGCTTCTAAAGGTAATGAACTGATCTCAAACTCATATGAACAAACAAAAAAATACATCCATCAACCCAAGCAAAGATTACGAGTTAAAAATCAGATAGTAAGCAAAATAACTACGGTGGTAATTTACACAATTTCAATGGTAAAGCAACTGACAGACTGCTGTTACATTGTGTGTGATAGAGATAGTGTGTTCCATCTTGTTCTTCACATTAGTTTCCGAAGCTACATTTGCTTAATACAGTAGCATTTGGATCTATTAATTGCCTAAACACCTCTCTCGTTGATGGTCTTTTGCTTGCCTCCCTTTCTGTACATCTTAAAGCCACCAAAAGAACATTAATAACTTGTTCCATGACAATTGAAGCTATATTCCTCCGAAAGGGTTCTTTGGTTTTGCCCCCGACACACCGAACCCACCCCACAATGTCTTCTTTCTGGTTATCAATTCCACCAAAACAACTCCAAAAATGTAGAACTCTGATCCTTGACTTCATTATTGTAAAGCATGCATTCTCTGTCAGACCAATAGTACAATCAATATTAAAAGTATTAAATCGAAATATTTTGTGCAAGTATACTATAATTATACATGTAGTACCTGGCACAGTGTACCCAAACATTACATCGAATAGCCTCTATGCAATGGCATGCTAACATTACATCAAACAACCTTCATGCAATGGCATGCTGCGTCATTTTTTTTTCCCTTTGATTTTGCCAAATCAAAGAAAGAAAGAGGGAACCAGAAGCCAGCGAGAAGAGAGAAAGAACCGATGAAGATAAAGATAAACATGAGAAAACGAAGGGGAAGCGAGGGAGGAAAATCGGGAAAGAGGTCAAAATCGAAGAAAGAGAAAATGTTTTAGCTTCTGCATCTTTTCTGTATTTCGCGAGCAAAGAAAATATCCATGGAGAGTTCGGACAATGATTCGGCCATTTTAGTCGAACCATCTATCATTACTCTAATAAGAAACTATAAGTAGATTAAAAGAATATGATTGCTAGGCCATGAAGCACCAACATGGATTCGGTGTACAGATATAACAATAATGACATGACAATATGACGAATTCTTCGAGGACAACAAGGACATGACAATACTTATGTGTACGAATAAATTGTATTTTATGAGACAAGTATAATGTAATAGGAAAGAGCTAACCTTCTAACTTCATGGGGAGAATAAAGAAGTGCTCCCACATTTCTTGGATAAAATAAACTATTATTTAGTTTTCAACAAAAACTAATAATAAAGATGTCAATGAAATTTGATATAAGGGGAACTAGTAACATTTAATCCAGTAACTATTTTCACAGCAGATACCATTCTTTTGCACAAGCACCATTACTGATGCTCTTTGTCAACACAACCAAATATCCTTTATATGTTAGTTTTAAGGCTGTTATTGTTCGGCTCGTAAAAAACCGTGGTCCCACATTCCAGGTGAATGAAAAGTAGGAGTGAGTTGCGGGCGTGCCAGGAACTGCAGTAGTTCCAAAGTAGAAAATCCAAACGGTTATCTAGTTGTAAAGTTATAGGGATCAGGCGATTGTACGAAGGTCTGGAATGACCACCTTCGAAGGTTCTTTTTTGCCTTTGAACAAGGACTTCAAACTATTCTATGCCTAATGGAAATGAAAACGGTATTAAAGGTGCAAAACTGGAAACTAAAGTAATTTAAAGTGCCGGACTGGAAATTAAAGACATGGAAATGCAATGCTTGGCTGGAAGTAGCAAAAGTGTGCAAGACTTAGAATTCATCGCATGGAATGAAAGCTATATAGAATAGCAAAGTGCTGGACTCAACTTAAAAGGATGCACATTCATTACTGGAATGGAAATACATGTATTAGCAAAGTATTAGGTTTAAACATAGTGCAAACTCATTGTTGAAATGAGAGATGAAAGCAAAGATGCTTGTGTTGATAAAGCTTTGAGCTGTGTTGCGTGCGTTGAGCAAGCCTTGCAAGTTAATCCTTAGTGCACTATTTATAGACCTCCTTGCATGCAATAATTGAGATGTGGCGACTTCGGCAACCTCCACTTGGCCTGGTCCGATGCTGCCTAGTGTCCCATGTGCTTGGCAATTTTTTTTTATTTCTGCCACTATCTTCTTCCTCCTATCTCTTGCTGTATATATATATTTTTTTCCTAGTTGGTACTCACACACACATGTCGCTTCTGAGACTCGAACCCTGGACCTCCGTTTCGAAAGTAAGAGGCTGATACCACTAGACCAATGGCCCGTTGGTTCTTGCTGTATATTTCTTCTGATATCTTACTTGTACCATGTTCCTTTTCTCTTCCATGAACTTATATCGTGGGTAGTTTTAGAGTGGTCTTCCACTTGTCTTCTCCATAAACTGACATATGCCCCATGTCTTTTGTTCTCCTTTCTTTAAACACGATTTTAATGACCTTGTCATCCGAATTATCCAACAACCACTTCAGTCAGTGGTAGTAGTTGCATGAGACACCACCACCTTCAATTGATGTACTCCATGTCCCCTTAGCTTTAGGTAACCTCTTTTAGCTGGACTTCCTTCTTCTTATGGCATTGTGTCCAAAAATTAACCTCTTTTCCCATCGTAGGTGTGCACATATATACAACCACGATACAACTTATCACCCATACTCCTTCTTTTTCTTACGACTTTAAACTCTATAACGCCATGAACTCCTAAATTTCAGTGTTCTTCTTAACGTGGATTTGGTGCCCACAACTTCCCTTCCTAGCTTAGAGTTCAAAGCGTCGTGGTTCCTGGACTCCAACGGTTTTCTTCATCATGGGTTGTATCATCCTACGTTCCCTTAGTTTTCTGTAACTTTCCACAACCAAACCTTCATTCCTACTTTCATGGCATCATGCTTTCTGGATACAAGCGACTTCTCTTTTAATCATGGGTTTAATATATACATAAATATATATGTATGTATATATATTACAAATATATTAAACCCCATGCTTTGTAGAATTGTAGCAACGAATATTGACTGAGTTTAGACAAACCGCTGAAGTTTCCTAAAAAGGAGGAGAAATATAGCCCCCATATTCTCCTCTTTTGGCTAGGTCAACTTTGATCTTAAATGGAAAATATCCACTTAATTGGTATCCTATAAAAATAGGATTATCCAATAAAATCAACTCTTAAAAGAATTAGTCTACCGTGGCAAGTCTAGTAGAACTCGCCACATGTTGATAAACCATTGGTTAGTTGATTTTAACTTGAATATTCCTATGAGGCTGCACTCATGATAGTAACTCCCTGCTACCTTCCTATATTTTTAGGACATTATATCTAAGGTTGGTAAGTTCTATTAGGACTCACCAATTTCTTTTAATCAGTAATCTACGTGGTGGAATTTATCTTAACCAATCACTCTTCAAATAAAACTAGGTAGTTTCAATATTCTAATGGAATATTTTGTCAAAGTTCTGATCCGGCGTGACAAGTTCCATTGGAACTCGCCATGTACTTCTCCTTATTGGTAGACCTTATCAAAAATTCCATGTCATACCTTTCCCTTCTAGATAATTAGAGTACTAATCCAATATGGCAAGTTTGTTAAAACTAGCCATTTGTCATCTTTCCATTGGGCAAAATAATGGAGTAAACAGTTATCATTATTGCTTTTTAGACGTTAATCTCACAGATAAAAACATATTAAAATAATAATAATAATAATAATGGGCACTCCAAACCAGTTACGTAGCATATTTTTCTGCGTGCTCCAAACTAATCAATTAGCTATCTAGAGATTCACGAAAACAGCACAGAGATTATACTCCCATTGAAGTTAAACAGTGAAACTAAAAGCTCTAATTTAAAAACAAAATCACATTGGATAGAGCACGATCCCTTAGATAAGACTCTGATGCATAAAGTAAAACATTGAAACAAAGCTCCAATGAAAAAACAAAATCACATAAAATACGATGTGAACACTACAAGAAAAGATGGGTCTAGCAGCAAAAACTTAGCAGCAAATATTAAAAAATTTTGTTAAATTAACAACACTTTATAAAAAAATGCCGTGAGAAGTTAAAAAAAATTGCCGCACGTGTCCTCACTTTCTCTCTCTACCCCCACTCCTAATTGCTGATCACTTTTCTATCTCTAACCCTGCTCCTCTCTCTCTATATCTTACTTTCTCATCTACTACTTTCTCTTTCACACACAAGTTCTCATCTACTACTCTCTCTCTCACACACACACAAAAGTTAAACCTTGTGTATTGGGGATGGTAATGGTGTTGGATCCGTATAAATGAATCGAAGTTTGAAGGAATCTCTGATCAGAGGGAGGTCGCAGCACCGGTGAGGTCTTAGTCTCAACGGAATCTCCAAGGATACGAACGAGAACTTGGACCTCTTCTCTAGGAATCGCCAGACTCTCTTCATTGCTTTGTCCTACGAATCGGACGGTACGATTCTTCTTCATATGCACCACATTATCCTTCTCTTTGAATCTCACTACTCCTTATTTACTTGTGGACTGTGATATTTCATTCAAAGCTGTATGATTTAGTTTAGTGCACAGTGAATTTTGATATGATTTTGTTCAATCAGCTAATCAATGCCTTCACAACTTGTTCATAATTTAATTCATAAATGTTCAATTATTGGGATTTTATGAAGCCAGGGCATTTTGATTTCAGTGCTAATTTACTTTTCATTACCTAATTGCAGTACTTTCAATGAAATTGAGGAGACTTTCAGTTGTATCCATGAAGGACTTGTGTCATGATGTATTTGGGATATCAAAGGAAAAGAAAGATCCAAGAGATGTGAAAGGGAACCAAGGTATGACTTGCTTTGGTTTTCTTTAAGCTTACAACCTTCATATGCATATTCCAGTGCTCATTCATGTGATTTAGTAATGATTTATTAAACTTATTGTTTGATTCTTATCTATAACAGTATATGCACACACATTCTGATTACTTTATCAAACACGGTCCAAATCCTGTTTATTTTATTATTAAGTGATTCAAAAATGTGGCAGTTGATGTGTGTATTCTTTCAAATGCATTTTACACTTGATGTGTGTGACTTCTTTAGTCAGAAAAGGAAATAGCTTTTGCTTGCTTGCTTACTTTCTTAGGCATGTAATTGCACTTATTCTGTTGGATAGAAGGATGGTGTAGTCAGTTTCAACAGGTTAAAATTTAGTAAGAATTTTTAAAACCAATTAATGTTCATGGTGTATGATCATATGTTACCTTTTTCTTAATAAAAAAAAAAGATAAATAGAGTATACTGTATTAATAGAAAAGAGTGTACAACCAAATCCTTTTAGGATCAAAGAAAGCCTTAATTTCAAGGCTGATCAAGTAAGACATTAAGATGCATAAATACAAAGCATGATTAACTTGACAATTAATTCTACCTTTCTTAGATGTTAGCTATGAACAATGCTAGATTTCTATTCTGTTTGAGTAAGGTCTTACTTGGATATTCTTTGTGCTATAAAAGAATAACAACCCTTAACAATTGAAAGAGTTATGTCATATGTATAGTCTTCGCGCTAAATGTTAGATTTCTATTATGTTTACAATATTGCTTCTTATGTGTCAGTTTTGGTGTACCTTTAATTTTAAGTGTGGGAGTGTTATTTAGCTTAAAATTTGAAGTTTAAGTAATTTAGTCATTTTCTATATATTGGCAGCCCTCTTTTACTTGTTATGGGATAGTTGGTTTGTGGATCCTTAAAGTTATGCTGCAACTGTGTTGTGTTCTTAACAACATGAATCTAAGTTACATCTAAGAAAGGAAGTTATTAACAGTAAACTATTTGGTACCTTTGTGAATGGAGAGCCACTATTCCAGTAAGCTATCAATAATGCTGTTGATTTAACGTCCTGAGGGATAATGGTTTCTTTATGAATTTTTTGTGAGTTGTGATTGCACTTGGTGTGCAAAGGAGGCATTGATGGAAAAGTTAGATTGATGGATATCCCACTTCAGATTATGTGAGTCCAATTCATTCATGTTACATTGCTTTAAATTGTGGACCTTTATGACCATTATTATATTATTATTACGTTATTATTATTTTTTTAGCTTGATTAATTGTACTCAATTGCTAATGTGCTGTGTTGCATCGATGGTAATGTTTGGGAGTATGTATGAAATTTTAACAAGTTTAGCAAGTTTGGGTTGTTTCTCCATAATCCTTTTATTTACTTAGAAATTTTGTAATTTAAGGGCTTAATATCCATTTAGCCTACTCTTACTGTATTGTTTCTTTATTTTATTTTATCTTTTTGTTCACTCTAGATCATTATAATTTAACCGGCTTTCAGGGAAAATCCCATCGGTAATTGGCCTGATGCAGACACTCGCCATGTTGTAAGTGCTTTATAAAATATTGTTATCTTCACATGGTATTTTCACAAGACTTAGTTTTATTTTTAGCCGGGCTTGTGAACTTCTCCAAGATTAAACACTGCTTCTTTAATTTGAAATTTTTTCATCTTACATCTTTGTCAAATCCTGCTTTGATCCAGAGATTTAAGCTGCAATATGTTGAGTGGAGCCATCCCTCCTATTCTAGGAAATTTGACTTACACAGAGAAATTGTAAGTTTTATCATCTTCATTTGTTTCAGCTTATTGTATTTTCTCCATTTATTGGTGTTCTTAGATTAAAAATATTATGTTGTCAATGGCTACTTGTATTTTTTCAATTATACAATAATAACAACATGAACTTCTATTTTACGCGCAATGCCAAATTGCTGTTTCCAGTTTTGATGCTTTAATTTGATGTAATTATTTAAAATTTATATATATATACATATATGTATATATATGCTGTAGTCAGTGTTTTAATTTGGATGTGAAAGTGTTGTAGGTATCTGCACGGTAACAAACTTACTGATCCATTCCCCCAAAGCTTGGAAATATGACAAAGTTCCACTATCTGTATGAATACTTTTTCATTATTTTCTGAACATCTTTCTATAAGTTCAGTTCTCTTTATGTTTCTTTCTCTAGTCATGTTGCAAAATGCGTATGTTTTTTTTTTTTTTCCCTGTGTCCTTGTAGGGAATTGAATGATAACCAGTGTAATGACCCTGGATTTTTCAATCCAATGTCTTGTGATGACCCGAACTGGATCCAGAATATGGAAGCAAAAGATAAAACAATGGTCTTAGGAGACACCACACATCCCTAAGACACCAATGTGACCCCCATTGAGGTCATGGAACTCAAAGAAAACAAGTGTGGAAGCAACAGTTCACAAACGGACAAGAATAAACCAAAGGGCAAAATGGTCATTTTTAAAATCAAAGTGGGCGCTATCGAGCACACCATTGGAAAGAAAATGACAAAATAATGAAGTTAGACTCAAGAATCGCCTGATTCCGAGTCTGAACGGAAAAGATATGAATTAAAACAAAGTGGCCTTTTCCGTTTAAGAGATTCCACGACACTATTTTACTAGAATTGGAATAACTCTCACTATAGGTGAAGTTTTGATGAGTGGTTGGTACCATTGGAAAGCTAATTTCTAGCTCTTGAATTGAGACTCAAGAATGACCCATTTTGGATTTAAAACGAATGAGATATGATTCCCCAAAGTTGGAATAACAAAGCTATCTAAGGAAAAGATGAGGAAGATGGTTCCAGGGAGGATCGATCGGCCGAAGTGTAACCATTAGCTGACTGAAACTCAACCGTTGGTTGGCCGAACCCCCATTATCAGCCGGCCGAAATGAGGTTTTTCCTAAAAAGGCTACTAGAATGGCTCCTCGAGCATCGTCAGTTGGTTGATGGAGCTTCATCGGCCGACCGACACATCTGCTGCTGCTTATGAAAAGTTGTTGCAATGTGTGTGTGTGTGCTAGGTCCATCTCTAAGGCTCTATATGCTTTCTACATGATCCAAACAAGTTTCAAAACACTTCCTAGCCTCGTTCAAGCATCCAAAACATGCCGAAATAAGGAGGAACCTAAAATGATGCCCCAAGGCATAAATTTTCATGAAAATTCTTAAAATCACCCAAAAGTTGAAACTTAAGAATTTTGTGAAATGTGGACATGCACGCATGCGTAAAAAGACATTTAAGACGCGTCTTAATGGTCCGCGGCCTCAAAATGTCCTAAATGCAAAATATGACCTCTCAACAGCCAAAAATGCCTTAAAATGCAATAAATGAAACCAAAGTGCAAAACCTAGAATGAAATGGTGTTTGGCCCTTGGCCACACCTCGTGCATGATCATAGAGACTCTACAAAAGAAAAAGAATGAAATTCTCACGCCCGATGCAAAAGTTATGAAACAATGACCAATGATTTTCCAATATTTTCATAATAAACCTTGAAGGTAAAAGTGCATAGAATACATAATACATGTCATTGGCCTCGGCCTTATCTTATACATGTTGAATACAATGAAAATAGTGTACTTATGCACACTTTACATATATGGAATCAAAGAATACTCGTTTAGACATACAAAGTTATGAAAATGGCAATTTATACTAACATTTGCATGAAAAAGATACTTCCAGTCTATGAAACTTCCATGGCTTAGTGTGCATCCCAAATTAAGGTTCCTGTACCTGAAAAATGTCTCCACAACGTGGGTGAGTAACATAAAACTACTCGTAGGAGATGAGCAAGCATCGACCTAACATTTTACAATTATATCACCTTAAGGTGAACCATGTTAAAAGGGGCTTATGCCACCTAACGTCTATATCAAGATGAGACTCAGGGAGCATTCTAAGCTACCTTAGATCATTTCTAACATAAATCACATCATTCATGCAATTTAAACATTGTGGAAGCATGTTAGACAAAGTAACAAGATATAGGTTCTCAAAAGTATCAACTTGCAACTTAAGATACGAAAACAACTAAAGTGGGTCATGCCACCTAGCGTCTATGTTTTAATGAATCTGAGGAATCACCTAAGCTACCTTAGGTCGTTTCTAGCATCATCACATCATTCATGCAACTCAGATAATCATGGAAACATATTATACAAAATATCAAAATATAGATTCTCAAAGTCTTCAGCTTGAAATCTAAAACACGAAAACAACTAAAGTGGGTCATGCCACCTAATGTCTACGTTCCAAATGAATCTATATGATTGTTCCTAAGCTACATTTGAACATCAAAACACAAATCACAATATCGATGCCATTTAACCAACATTGGAACTTCCAATACAACGCATAAAGCATGATTTCTCAAAGTTAATATCTTGAAACTTAAAATAAGAAATCAATTAAGAACCAACAGGTTACAACATCATCTAGTTATCAACTTGAAATGAAAAGTGAAATCAAATAAGGTGGTTACTAGGACATCAGTCGGATCAGGCCGACACCTTGGTTACTTTAGGGTTACTAGCCCATGGTAAACCTCCCTACGTGCGTACTAGACTGTAGAGGGACAATCCCCCGTACTAGAACCATGTCCTAGCCGTAGTCAAACAACGACATTCCCAAGTTTCCAAAATCAACAAGTTGTGCTACGACATATATATCAGCATGTAGATACAAGATAATCAACTATCTACCATGCACAACCAAATTTGGAATCGTATACAATACATGCTCTAAGTCCACAACTACTATGGTATTACAAATGTCGAATCTTCAGTGTGCGATTCGTTACACGCTATGGCAATATCATTCAATATTGAAAACAGATACTCATGAATCTAATACAAGTCCAAAATCATGATTTAAACATACAACCAACGTCACACTCATCATTAAATCAACAATGCAATAGAAATGGAAATTAATCAAGTAAACTAATTAATCTCCCTAAGTTTCAATTCTCAACTAAATGGTCCCTAATTAACACATGTTATACAACATAGCTTGATCATGACATACATCATTTCAAAAACTTGATTAGGCCATTTGAACAATAAAATGAAATTTAATTAAATCTTAATAATCAATTCCCTAAATTCTAAAACAACGTCAAATGATCCCAATTTAATATATGCTAGTATACAAGTCCTAGTCATTACAAATATCAAGTTAAAAACTTAATTAGGTCAATGGAGCCATTAAATAGATTTTAATTAATTCTTTTAATTAAAATCTCTATATTTTTAAACTCGTCCAAATGCTTTCAAATTCACATATGTTAGGGAACATGCCAAGGCCTATTGTAATATCACATTACGAGCTTATTTCATGCAAATTATATCTATGTAAATTAAACTTTCACTAAAGATAAATATTAAATAAAAGTTGCAATTCTCATTCAATTTATCCCAATTTAATATATGTGAAAAAACATACAAAATCTTAATTTTCTAGCATGCCACAATTTAATTCTAAGTTACATAGCATTATGAGATTTAAATCTTAACCATAGAAAATAATTAAATTAAATTCTAAAACTTAAATCAAAGCATGCATATAAGTTGCATAAACTTCTAAAATCATCAATACAACAATAATATAAACCTAAGACACCCCCTATCTCAATTTGAGATGAAAATCTCAAATCCCCACCGAAAGGAAAGTGCTCCGAATTCGACGATACTTTGGGGTTTTGTCGGGGACAACACGATAAACAAGAATCACAAGGAAGCCCCATCAAAATCACAACTTGAATTCAAACCCAAACTCAAAATTTGGCGAAAAATGGTTTCTAATAAGGGAGAAAGGTAGAGCACATTGAGGCCTACGATAAATGTTAAGGCCGAAGACTTTTCACCAAGGAAAAGTGGTTCAAAGGAGGAGAGAGAAGGTGGCAGCCCCATGGTCTTCCATGGCTGTCGGCCAAGAGAGGAAGAAGAAAGGAAAAATCTGATTTTTCTTTTTAAATTGCCCTATTTATAGAAAAACCCTAAAAGTGTCCCGAAAGGGCCCCGCCGGGTTCAAAAAAGTGAAATTTGAGCAAACGCGCTCAAACGGCAAAAATCCGTGAATGAAAAAGATTCAAAAATGATAAAATATGAACAACAGAAGAAACAACATCGAAAACTGAGTCCCGGCCAGAGAGATATGCCTCGAACAAGTTCAGCGGCAACCGGGACCAGAAACCCTGAAACTAGAGAAAAACGACCAGAAGGAAATTCTAAGAGTACACGACTTGATGAAATGTGAAAATGAATCCCGTACGAGGTTCCAGGCTCCAGACGAGGTATTTTGCAATAGCTTTCATTAATTGCACAATAGCCCCTCCAAAAAGTGAAAACTGCACTAATGACCCATAATGAAAATATCTTCCAAAAATATTTTCTTAAAAACTCCTGAAATAAAATATCTTTAAAAGATATTTACAAAAAACACCCCAAGAAAAGAAAAAGATTATGAAGAACTGTGCTTCCATGCCCCTATGGACACTAGGAGCAACCAGAGTACTTTCTTACAAAAGTAAAGATACGTATTTCGTGGAAACTACTTAGAATGAAGATATGTGAAGTCAAAAACCAACTCTGAGCATGAAAAGTGAGGTTATGCCAACAAAGTGACAAATGGGGAAAAGACGAAATAGGGAAAAAGACGAAACAGGGAAAATGACGAAAAGTGAATAGTGTCAAAAAACAAAAAATGCGGAAATGACTTGGTCCTCAAAGGAAGTTGTCAATCCGAATAAAAGAGTCTTCGAAACCAATTCCAAGCACTCGAGACGACACTAAATGACAAGAAACAGAACTCGGAAAAAATTCATCCGTAAAATTTCAGGAAAAGGGAAAGGAAGGAAAATGACCGGGTTATTACAACCAGCTCACTGGGTATATTCCACCAGGGAAGCTCACCGATTTGTTTGACCTGTATATCCTGTCTCTCTTAGTTACTCTATTTGAAGCAGTTTCTGCTTTTCTTAAAGCAAGTTAATGACACTAAATGCTTGCAGAAATGTAGCTAACAACAAGCTTGTTGGCCCTTACCTAATAATCTCAGCTCTTGTACAAATCTTAACAGCCTATAAGCATTGAACCTTACTCGCATTGCTTTATTTATTGAACGTTCAATCATTTGAATATTATTATTTAATTACCAATTGATTTTGATGGTAGAAATGTGCATGGGAACGAGTTGAATGGGACTATACCTCCTATATTTGAAAGGCTGGAGAGTATGACATATTTGTAAGTTCAGCCCTTCTTGTCGTCATCATCATCTTCTTCTTTTGAAATTTGAGAAGTTTCATTGAGTTTATGTTGGTATTTTATAAGATTTTATTTCAATATCATTTGGTAACTTCTCACATTTCGATTCAGATTTCGTTTGGAAATGAAGAGCAGGCAGCAACAGATCTTAGGTCGGACTTGCTTGATGGTGATGATGACACCTATTGGCTCATTCTATTATTTTTATGATCTGATTGTTTCCTTCTTCTATTCTTCTATTTGGGACTTATTTGATGCATAATTGTAGTTTGTATTAATACGAATACAAGTTATTTGTTTCTAATACGTTATATGTTTTATTTCAAGTTGCTCGTAAAGAATGATGATACTTGAAGGATATATATAGTCTCTCCTTTTTCTTTTTCTTTTTTTCTTTTTTTTTTACGATTTAACGAGACATTAAAAATTCTTTTATTTCCCTTGTTATTGTGACATAGCTACACTAATAAATGCATTGTAATTCCTTTTTTTTTTTCTTGACTTTGTTGTGAATTGAGTTTATTTAATCAATAAATTTGGTTTATGAAAGGATTAACCTTGATTATAAGGACTTGAATTTTCCTTAAATTTGCTTCATTTAAATATATTGTTATAACATTTTAAAAAATTTTGTCATTTTTCAGAGCATTTATATTTGCTGTCATATGTTTTTAATATATGGCAGCACATATAATTGTTGTTAAGCCTATCGCGATACAGGTTATGACAGCAAATACAAATGCTGCCTATAAATGCAGCCAAGGAACTATGATAGCATTTTTTTTACTTCTAACAGCAAATAAAATTGTTATTAGAGACCATAATTGTTGTAGTGGAACCCTTAGATTATACTCTGATGCATGCTCCAATGTATCTGAAATATCGAAAGTCTACCCAGGCCTCCAAAGGTCATTTCTAACCCACACAAAGTCTCTAAAAAAATAAAGAATATATGAACAAATTTAATAATATTACTTCATTTAATATTTTCTATAGTTGTTGGGAATTGGGATAATGGATTTGAGTCCACAAACCCTTTTTGCATATCATTCCATAATTGTTCAGTGGTCATCCTTTGAACGCAATCAAACCAAGACCATTGATTTTTTCTACTTTAATATTGTTCTTTTTTGTAGCTCTTTACATCTTTTTTCTAGATATTGTTGGACAACTTTTTATTATTATTTTGGTAAGGTACTCACAAATGCCTATTCTGGGGCACGAACCCCAAACCCCACACCTCTACTTTAAGGGATGAGAGGTTATACTAGCTAGGCTAATGGCCAAGTGATTACATTGTCAGGCCAAACAACTCAATGTTTGATATTGTTTTTCTTTAACTCCATAATCGTGTTGACAAAAAATTTGATGATTTAATATAATGCACGAGGATTGGGATTCCATTCAAATCCAAAAACCTAGACACTCAGCATCATCATCCCCATTTAAACAAGGGTTACTAAAGTTTAGGGTAACATAAATAACACAGCAAATGCTTTACAATTATAAATCTTCTAAAATGCCCAAAACTCGGTCAAAAATATTCCTGCATATTTTCCAATCTAACCTTAGGTAGGAAAAGAAGTATAAAAGAATATAAAACATTGAACATTGCAGACTATTTTGATGACATACAGATCGAGGAAACAACCCCTTCCATATACTTAGCTTGCATGTTCCAATGCAAACTGATAGGGAAAAATAAACTTAACCTACCTTGACCTAACAATAGAGGCAACTAAGTATTGACCAGCCGCCAGATCTCTTCGGTGATCAACGATAATATTTTGTTATTAGGGATAATGATTTCTATTGGATAAGAATGATGACAAATCTTATCCAGGATAAGATTTCTATAGGAATGATGACAAATCTTATCAAGGATAATATTTCCATCGGATAAGGATAATGAAATTCCCTTATCAAGAATAAGAGAAGCAACAATAAATAGGAAGACGATTCGGGAATAAGGTGCACACAAAAAAAACTCTTACTAGGGAAATTACGATTGAAATTCTTTCTCTAGAAATCCCTACTAACTTGATCGTCGGAGGGTCAACGACCAGCACCACACTGGTGTTTGACTTTGCCATCTTTGTTTTGTAGGAAATGGTGTCGTACCAGGCCATGGCGAATTTTGACCTCAACAGTTGGTGCCGTCTGTGGGAATGACGATTCCCTTAAATCAATTAATTACTCAGTTGGGTATATACGTTTGCGATTCGGTATGGTTACCGAAGAAACACCTTTGCAGGGATCTAGTCAAAGGAAAGAGTCGGGTGAAAACCTAGACGTCCCAAACGACCAGGAACAACTTGCAGTGCTGGAACTACAGGTCCAAACTCTGAATCAGTGTATAGATCAGTTGATCCAGCAAAATACAGCACTCTTGCAACACCTTGTTCCACCAGTTCAACAGAGCTTGCCACAATAAGACCTCTTGAACCCAAACAGAGGTAATGGGAATCTTAAGGAGCAGGATAATCATCCTCCCTGATAGGAGACCGAAGTGGAACAAAGCCAGGTGGGGAACCAACATAGAGAAGTGATCTACCTATCTCTTCCATGGAGTTCCCGACCCTATGAAGACACAACTGTCATTGAAAAGACATAAGAGATTTCCCATGTTAACCTAGAGATACAGGATCCCAAGGCAAAGATAGAGGATATGATGCAGGCCATGAAGGGAAAAGGCATTACAACCATAAATGGCTTAGTACAGAAGACCAACTTGCCGTTCAGCCCCTCGGTTATGAAATGCCCCTTGCTGAGCAAATTTAGAATGCCCTCAATTGAGAGCTTTGACAGAACTAAAGATCCCCTCGACCACTTGGAGACTTTTCAAGCGCTTATGCATCTACACGCGATGCCAGATGAGATCATGTGCAGGGCTTATCGGCACGGGTATGGTTCAACAAGCTGAAGCCAGGGACCATCGAAACCTTTGAAGAATTAAGTAAGTGCTTCATGGGCCATTTCATTGCTGGCCAGAGGCATAGAAGGCCAGCTACCCACCTTCTTATTATAAAGCAGCAGAAGGGAGAGTCACTGCGAGATTACATTGGTCATTTCAACATAGAAATACTGCAGGTCGAGGAAGCGGATGACAAGGTGGCCCTAGCCGCCTTTATGGGAGGACTCCAAACCTCGAGATTCCTCTTCTCTTTATTAGAGGAACCCCCTACTAGCATGGTCGAGTTACTGGTTCGAGCTAAAAAAACATATGAATGCTGAAGATGCAATGATTGCGAGAAAGGGAAAAGAAGGGGATGATAAGAAGGCAGATAAGAAAAGGCCGGCTCTGGCAACCAAAGATGAAAAGGAAACCAAGTATAAGAAACCCATGGTCAACCAGAATGAAAGGGCTTCTTGCTATAAGAGCGCAGAGAGGTATACAAATTACACTCCTTTAAATATGCCAGTATATCAAGTTTTCCTGTAGATCCAAGATGAACAATATCTGAAGTGGCCACCGAAGTTGAAGTCAGATCCAACGAGAAAACCTCGTGATAAGTACTGTAGGTTCCATAAAGACCATGGACACGTCACAGAGGATTGTTTTGACCTTAAAGATCAGATTAAGACTTTGATCCGAATGAGGCACATGCGAAAGTTTATTGTAGGGAATGACAGAACTGACATTAACCCACCAAGAGCAGGCTGAGATAACCGTCCCCCTGATCAACAACCAATGGGAGAAATCAGGGTCATAACCGGGGGATGTGTAGGAGCTGGAGAATTAAACTCAGCCCGTAAGGCCTATGCCAGGAGAATGCGAAACTCATCAAAGGTGTGCAAAGTTGGAGTACAGATTCAACATTGAAAAATGCCTCGTCTAGGTGATCCTGTTATTACATTCCTAGATGAAGATATTAAGGACGTGCAACAACCCCATGACGACCCTCTCATTGTCACCATGATGATCACTAACTATAGTATTCGGTGGATCTTGGTAGATAATGGAAGTTCGGCTGATATCATTTTCCTTGATGCATTCAGCAAAATGAAGATTGGTAAGGAGAAACTCAGACCTACGAGATCACCATTGGTAGGATTCACGGGAGATAAAGTCTTTCCTCTAGGAGCGGTCATTCTTCCTGTCACTGCAGGAACCAGTCCAAAACAAGTTACTGTCGTGGTGGACTTCCTGGTGGTGGATTGTCCATCTGCTTACAATGCCATCCTAGGAAGAACGACCTTAAACTCGATGAGGGCCATCACTTCGACTTATAACCTCTTGATGCGCTTCCCCACAGAGCATGGCGTAGGCGAGCTAAGATGAGACCAGACCACTACCAGAGAATGTTATGTTGCGTCTCTCAAAGAAAAGAAGCAGCAAGTGGCTTTGGTTGTCGAAGAAATTGAAGAAAAGGAGCAAGACCGAACCAAGCCAATCGAGGACCTGGTGGAGATATACCTAAATGACAATGACGTAACAAAAAAGGTGAGGATAGGGTCTCTGCTCCCCTCAGATTTCACGAATATTCTTGTACAATTCCTTAGACAGAATCAAGATGTGTTCGCATGGTCACATGAAGACATGCCTGGTATTAATCCAGCTACAATCAAGTATCGATTAACCACGGATCCCACATTCAAACCTATCAGGCAAAAATAAAGAACATTTGTCGCGGAGAGGAACATGGCTATATCAAAAGAGTGAACAAGCTTTTGAAAGCTTATTTCATCCAAGAAGTTAATTATCCTGACTGGTCGGCCAATGTTGTATTGGTAAAAAAAAGCCAATGAAAAATGGAGGTTGTGCGTAGACTTTATCGATTTAAATAAGGCGTGCTTTAAAGACAGCTTCCCTCTGCCAAGAATCAACATATTGGTAGAAGGAACGGCTGGCCATGAGCTGCTCAGTTTCATTGATGCATATTCAGGGTATAACCAAATCTCAATGCATCCACCAGATAGAGAAAAGACCTCCTTCGTCACGGACAGAGGTTTATATTGCTACAAGGTGATGCCTTTTAGGCTAAAAAATGCTGGTGCAACGTACCAGCGGCTAGTCAACTTGATGTTCAAGAACCAAATCGGAAGGAATATGGAAGTATATGTGGATGACATGTTCATAAAAAGCTTGAAAGCTCAAGACCACCTAGCTGATCTATAGGAGACATTCCAAGTCCTCAGGAAACACCAAAGGAAGCTCAACCCAGACAAATGTGCCATTGGTGTCTCCTCTAGGAAATTCCTTGGTTACATGGTAAGCAAGAGAGGGATAGAGGCCAACCCCGAGAAAATCCAGGCAATTCTCAACATGCAGTCTCCAGCATCAACCAGGGAACTTTAAAGATTGACGGGAAGAATCGTTGCTCTG